ATAATCTAATGGTAATGATAAATTACGTTGGTACTGAATAGTAATGGTAGTTACGATGACGCGGGGCAAACAGGATCAAATTGGTTTTGCATTCATTCCGTTCTGGTCAACCGACACGTATTAATTCCCCATTTCAATGTACATTATTTGATTGGTCTACACGGGGAAACCACGCGGGGCTTTTATTTACACGAGTGATTCTCGTAAGTTTTGCAAGCATAATTGAAAAATGCTTCTACAATTTAAAATATATCCGTGTTTCCTTCCCAGTGATCTGTAAATTCGAACACATTTTCCGTGGTGGAAGAACCGATCTAAGTACGTCGATAACCAGGCGATGCCTGTTCGCCTCGACTTCTCTAAACGGTTTTGTAAAAATCGATACAAAAGTGTCTTGGGATCGCGATCATAAAATCGAATCACGTTGTTACGTCACAATAATTGTCTAACATTGAACGATCGATATCAACAAAAAGAAAGAAAAGAAAAAAGATCAGAGTAATAATATATGGATAATCGTAATCACCATTCCTATACATCGCGGATAATAACAGTAAGAATAGATACAAAAGTAATAATAATGATAATAATAAAGTTTTACAGTAACGATACCACCAAGAATCATAGCGACAATAATGATTACGTCATAATTATAATATTAATAATCTATCAACAGCGATAGCAATAAATTGTAATAATAATAAGGGTAACGATAATCGTCGGTAAAGTGGGGTATAGCAACAATAATAATAATAATAATAATGGTGATAGTGATAATAATAGCAGCACTAAACAACGATGTAAACGCACGTGCCAAAGAAGAATGCGGTGAAAAGATGACACGAACATAAATGGTGATACATTAATCGTAAATGTTACTTTTGACTAGGCTCCATTTGTATTTACGCGTAACACTTAAGGGCGTGATTGATGCTCGTGTAAGTTAATCATTACCGGCTGAACGTGTATGTGTGTGTGTGTGCATGTATGCATGTGTATGTGTACGTGTGTGCTGAGTGAGAATTAGTCGTTAACGGTGCATAAGTACATTGATTTAATTAAAGAAATGTCTTTGGTAATTTGCACGGAGGACGGCGCAACCGGATTTCATCAACATACAGTATGTTCCATTAGAAATTTATGTTCTTTTAATTATATCTTTCTTATAATTAAAAATGCACAGACATGTTCAAGATGAAAATTAAATAGAGTCACCGAGCAAAACTGTTCAAAACCTTATTTTATTTTCTTATGTCTCCATTTACAGTTTTTCGAAAATGATATTCAGCTGAATGTAACAGATAATCTAATCTTAAATTGTTTACAATGAAATTCTAATAATTAGACTGGGATCTTTATGCAAATATCAATCTTTGACGATTTATTTTTGAAAATTAGAAACAAATGAAAATTTCTTTATTCCGTCGAAGGTTCTATCAGCTCCCATGTAAAATGAAAACCGCATTAATACTTATGAAACTTTTTAATATACTGAATTTCAGACAATTGGGTACGTTGTAACTGCATAAAATCCGCAGTATATTAATAATTTTCGAACAATAAGCTTTGCTAGTGTTTGTAATTAACAATTGTTATAAAACCACTTAATTTTCATCTTGAACATTCCTTTATACCTTATTACAGGCGGAGATCTGTTTTCAATGGAACACACTGTGCATTTGGTTATTCGTACGGCGAAATCGTTTCTAGAAACGGTTGGCACCGAACACTCCATTCATTTGGCTTGACGCGTGCGTGTGAATTGTGTTATTGTCTGTTGATAACAAATATGTCTCGAGGTTGTTTCTGTTTTTTTCTCTTTTTTTAGTGAAATTTGAAGAAACAGGCTCCGTGCGAAGCAAACTATAGCTAGGGTTTGTAAAATGTAAAGAAACCCTTTTGATAACGAAGAGGAAAGAAGAAAAAGGCGACGAGAACAGGCGAATTCATCGAAACGATTGGAACGAGAGCCAGCCACGAACATTCATACGTACTACTGTTTCTGTGTTTCGATTTTAATAGATCTTTCTTTAACTGTATTACCAAGACAAATTCATCTGAGAAGTGCTGCTGCCTAATTCCTTCGTCTTATCCCGCAATTTTTTCGCTTCACAATTTTCAGATTCGATATAAAAAATAATTTCATTACATTATCTAAAGTAATTTGTCTCATTAATACGGATAAACACGATCGAATGATTGCACAACATAAAAATCAATGATCCAAGTCCAATTATTTCAAGGTGATCCGTTCAAAACTAGAAATATTGTCGATTTTATTAATTTTCTCTTGAAGATTTCGCATCGTTCTTCTTCTCTTCATGCTTTATGTTTTCTCGTAATACCAACCAATCGATTTTTATTATTATTTCTCGGCTAATAGAAACGAATCTCTGCAGACTGGAATTGACTTTTCAAATTACCCACATCTGGACTCTTCGATTTCTTCTTTTCTCTTACACAGGAATCAAAATGTGAACCTTCTCGGTCGAGGTTCCGAACGAAACTATTAAGTACCTAAAATGAGTTAATCTTGCATCAGTAACGACGATCGCGAGCGTCCTCGATTCCGTAATTGCTGAATCTTTCTAGCGTGATTAAAACAAAGAAGGTAATTCGGTCGTATCTATGCTTGCGAATCTAAAAACTTAACACTACGCAGACAAAACAATGTTAGTAAAGCAATGGTCGTCGATATATTTCTACAATACATTTTGTAAAATCAGTTTCGATATTTTGTCGGATACCATAACAGGAATTGGTTACTGACTCAAGATTAATTCGTGTGATCGAACACATCCCCCCTCCCACCCCACGTGATCGCAGTCGATGGTTTGTCGGCGTGCAAAAACGTTCGTGTGGAAAATGTTTCCCCGATTCTCTCTTTTTTTTCTCTCTTTATCCACGCACTAAACGAAGTACAGAATACCGTTTCTTCGATAGGCGTTATACACATCCGTCTAGGTACGAGAGCCTAACACAGAGATCATAAAAGTATGAACGAACGGTAAGTACCTCTTGCTGGTACGACTGAAGAGAAAAAAAAGAAAGAAAGATACAGAACGATCGCGTGCGTGTTAGTGAATCGTCACAGATGAAAAAAGAAAAAGAACAAAAGACACTAGTTTCAGTATTTTCCATCGTTAAGTTTCTCATGCCACGCTCTCTATCATATACACTTTAAAAAGCGACCCTACTCCAATCCCTATATACGGTACAACGTTATCACAAAGTCATTAAAAAATGCTACTTATGTATCGTTTCCCCTATGGTTCTCTTCCGTTATTTCTTGTTCCAGAGCTTGCTTGCTTGCTTGTCTTTTTTTTTTTGGATCTTTTTCCGTTTTTGGTAATCTTTACACCGTTTCAATTTACACGGTGTGAACCGGGCACGAGATCATCGCAAACTTCATTTCTCGACGTGGTTCACGCGCGTCTATTTCGCGTCCCCCCCCCCCCCGGCGTTATCCCTCGTTCATTGTCCTATCATTTCCTTATGTATGTACTCGGTTTAGCCGGGCACGTAAGTGCGTCGTATATCTACATTTATGAACAGGCGATTCGCGAACGCTGACAGCGAGCCCGAAAGTGAGCCGGTAAAATAAAAGAATATCGATTCTCAGTCGATAAAATTAATACAGGTGCGCGCGCAGTTAACTTGTATGATACAAGAAGTACCGGCTGGGCACCGTTTTACGGGCCGGCTGTAACCTTCCATCTCTTCGAAAACGGCTTAAATGGCTCACAGACGATGCCATTTATCGTAAAACTAATTGTACAACGTAAGTTGCTTCGACCGTGTGAAAGACAGTTGTAACGTTTGTGGCGCGATTGTACGCGAATACAGCATGCTAAAAATTTTCCGATCTGCCTTTGCAGCTGTCTGTCTCACTTTTAGTAGAACTAATTGTACAGCGTAAGTTGCTTCGATTGTTTGAAAGACAGTTGCAATGTTTGTGGCGCGTTGTACGGCGGTACGGTATTCTAAAAATCGGTCTCTGCAACTGCCTGTGGAACTAGTCGTACAACCTGAAGTACGATAAATCGCATCGTCTATGGACTGTTTAAAAATCGGTTTTTGCAACTGTCTGTGGCACCTTTACAGAACTTTAAATACGATAAATCGCATTGGGGTCGTTTTAGCGATTCTATGCGAGATACAGGGTGGATTCTCTTGCTAGGGGATCCAAAGGTAGTAACTGTCGTCTTCGACGTTGTAATATTCTGGTCTGTTAACGACACATACTAAAAAGGGTCTGCAGACGGTACGATTTATTGTACAACTAATTGAACAACGCAAGTTGCTTCGACCGTTTGAAAGACAGTTACATGGTTTCTGGTACGGTTGTACAATGTGTAATACGACGCAGTCGTATCGTAACGGTGTGCTAAAAATCTGTTGTACGACGTGGTTGTGAATACGACCTGTTTCTTGCAACTGTCTTTATGTACAATAAATCGCATCGTCTGTGGGCAGTTCAAGGGCCTCTATCTGATCAATACTTACTTTCTTAGGTAATAGTACTCTTCTTAGGTCCCCTAGCAAGAGAATCACCCTGTATATTCCTAACGATAAAGGTCCACGAAGTATTCGTCACGATTCAAAAAATCGACTCGAGCCGTTCCCAGTCCTACTTCCGATCCCGTTTTTCTCGGTCCCGACGTCTGATTGCAGCGACAAGCCCCGGCCACGAACAACGCCTCGCGAATCTAATTGATCAACATTCAGATCGCACGCGCATTTACGCACATATACACACATACACACACACACACGCACACGCACAGAGATAGTTTTTCTTTTTTAATGGGTATGCACACACCGTCTCAATATACGCTATACGTACATATATGTACACATACAAAGAAACAAAGAGATAAAGGTAGCGTGTCACAGTTCAGCCCGAGGAACATAAAAAACACAGTGCTCGTGCGCCGGTATCCCCAACTTCCGCTGCGCTACATATTCGTATTTTTGTCTATGTATCTTTCGTTTTGTCATTTTTTTTTTGGTTTCTGTTTTCGTCGTTCTCTCGTTTCCTACATCCGACACTGAAAACGATGATCGGTCCGTTCCCACTCGTGGTCACTCGATACGCCGCGGGAACGAGCGATTGTTAATCCCACGACGATTCCCCTTTCTCTATCTCTCTTTCACTCTCGTTCCGTTTTCCTCGATTTTACTTTCGCGGCGCACTTGGGTACGACGGTTCGAGCTTTGGTCGACGATCTCGTCAGAGGGTTGAGGTATTGGGAGGATTGTTTAGGGGAGGTAGGTGGGGTCTGTCTTCTCTCTACATCGGTTTTTGGTTACGTAGCGGCGGTTAAGGGTGGCCGTAGAGCGCGCCACGATCGACAATCGGTGCCACTTATCCCCGTTAAAATAGAACAGACCCCGAGCAACGACGACGACGACACCGTGGCTACCACACGCGATACAGAACGTTGGAGGTAGCTCGTAGCTGGATGGATTCGGTTGGTCTTTTCTTATTCCGTTCTCCCTCTCTTTCCTTGCTTCTTTTTTTTTTCTTTTCTTTATCTCGGGATTTTTTTGCCGGATTCCGCACGGCCGTAGGACAGGAACAGAGGACGGTGTGGTTGTTGATCTTCAGGGGATGGGACGAGGGAAGGGGGGAGGAGCAGAGCGGGGGCAGCGTCTCCTGTTCTTGCGAGAGGAGCGAGACAGCGGGCAGATGTGCATAGGCACCGACAGACACAGAATGACTGATCAAGAGGCTGACCGAGGAGTCGTGACTGATCGATCGAACGACTGACCGATTTGACTGACTGACTGAGAGACTGACATGGCACGGCGACTCCGATCGAGAACACGGTCACAACGTCACAGGCCACCTGCTGGCACACAAACAAACACACGGACATGTTAGTCACCACCACACACCAGATAATGTAGGATTCCACCCGGATGAACGTGCAAGGTGACATCATTGAACACGCGCGATCGATCTTTGGATGGTTCGACCGGTCGAAGGAATTTTCGCGCGATATCTCTATCGGAAGAACGCACGGTGTACAGTGAATCATCGATTAGTGTTCGAAGGCTCCTCGGCACTGAATGTTCAGACGTCATCCCCACCAGTGGGCGTTAGACTGGTTCCACGAGGGATCCCTCTAAGTTTCGGGTATGACGCCTGAACATACAGTGGAGTGGAGTCTTTGAATACTTATCGATGATTTACTGTATATAACTACTGTTCGTAAGTATTAGGACACCTGATCTGTTCGCAGAAAGTATAATGTTGCGTAAAAATGATATACTTTACACGCCACTATCACTTTATAGCAGGCTTGGGCATTATACAAATAAACTGTTTGAACAATAATCGTTAAGATAATGTATTATCTTATCTGGCTATATGTTATTTAAACTAATCATGTATTAGTTTAGATTATTTCGATATTTGGATTTCAAATGAATTAGATTTTCATTTTACTTTTTGCGCGGTCAAATATTTATTCGCATCATTTTTCAAATATTCTTTAATTCTATCATGCCAGCATTATTAACACGAAACTTACCGAAACAAAAAGGCAGGATTTAGAATGGAAAAATCAGTCATGTGGCCGCTCGTGGTAGGTTCAGTGTTAATTCTCTTATGTCAAATTATTTGTTATTTTATTCGAAGGCAGTAACTAGAATGAAAAATTATTTGAAAATAATTTATTCGAATTGAACACAAAATAACATTAGTTTGCTTATGTTATTTATAAAATAAAAATAATAAAATATTTGAAATAATGAATTAATTCATTATGATTATTTGTCATCTTATTTCAAATAAAATTTTTTCAATTCTGCTTTATAGTAACGTAAGCGTTCTTCATCGAGCATTAATATTTCGTAAACTATATTTATTTCAATACTTTCATGAATTTTGTGACGCCCTGCAACATTCACTGCATATTCAATGTATCTTATTACTTACGAGCGGGTGTGTATACGAAGAATAAACGCGGAAAGTGAACGGTCTGAGTTTTCATACGGACAACAACAACCGT